AAGATGATTTTTCCAGAATTATTCGTAATTAATGCATTTGAATAAAAGAGTTAAGTTCACATTTAATATACTAAAATCTTCTCAATACAGGCAAAGTAATGCCTAGACACTATTCTTCCCCTATAGACTTCCCCTATAACAAAAACGCTAGGTTATTCTGTTAACTGACTATTCTCAGTTTTGTCCGTTATTTATCTTTCTACCGTTCTGGGACCATTACCAAATCTTATCACTTGCTGTAGGCCTGTCCATAAGTAGTGCTGTCACATCTCTTTCATAAATACCGTATTTACGCATGTATAGGCCGCGTGCGTGTATAGGCCGCAGCACAATTTTCAGACAGAAATTATAGAAAAAATAATTTTCTTGGAATATTATTTCAGGAGTAGAACATCCTGTATTACTAATTATGAATATAATTTTTTTTAAAATGAAGTGTGATTTCGAATATTTCGAATATAAGCCGCACCCCAGTTTTCCTCTTGAATTTTTGGCAAAAAATGTGCGGCCTATACATGCGTAAATACTGTATACAGGATGATTCTAAATTACTGTCGGCGTTTCTGTGGACCAGAAACGGAAACCTTTACAGTACTTTAGAATTACTCTCCATTACATAAATGTTTGATAAAACAGTACAGCGTTTGTACCTATTACGTTAGTTCAGTACCTTAAATATGGGTAAAGATAAAGCTATCCCTGTAACAGGCTGTGTAGGCCCACAGGGTTCTGAGACTTCGAGGCTCCCACATTTTCTAGACAATCGGCTCACAGACAGCGGTAACGTTGTCAGCCTTACTCGCAGGCGACCCTTACGCCGCAGGATGATTCCTGGCAAGTAAAAAAAAAAAGTAACGCTATCCCTGTAACAGGCTGTGTAGGCCCACAGGGTTCTGAGACTTCGAGGCTCCCACATTTTCTAGACAATCGACTCCCAGATGGCGGTAAGGTTGTCAGCCTTACGCGCCGGCTGCGCTTTACTCCCCAGGAAGATTATTTAATTAATTGGTTGAGGCACTATGCTACAAGCCGGAAGGTAGCGGGTTAAAGTCCCGATGAGGTCATTGAATTTTTTTTTCATTTGGCCTAATCCTTCCAGCCACATTATGGCCCTGGAGCAGAGTCCGCCTCTAACATAATTGAGTACCAGGAAGATTACTGGTACTCATTTGTATTAGAGGCGGTGTCGTCCCTAGGGCCATAGTGCGGCTGGAAGGATTAGGTAAACTGAAAAAAATTGAATAACATCAGGAATCGAACCCGCGACCTTCCAGCTTGTAACACAGTGCCTCAACAAACTACCCTACCGCGGCCCCTCCCTTAAATACAGAATGTTTATTATTACTTGGCATTCGTGCGACGCAAAATTGTCATTGTGCGTTTGGTTTTGACACAGTTTTTCACCATCCTGGAGAGGGCGAACTGTGATAGACGTCGGTGCTTGTATACGAGATAAGGACTTACAATCTGTTCCAAATACAGGCCGACAGTGAAAATGACGGTAATAGCCAGCATAGGGTCTTGCAGCTTAATGTGAATTAGAAGCCACTGCGGAGGCATGGTTGGAAAAAATTTATCATGTTTCGACGTTACTGCTCAACATATTTAATCCTAACTCATTTATTTAAAAAAAAAGGTCAAGGTACTACTATAAAACATTTTAAATTACGTCGATTTATTTTGGTTATGCCAAGGAAAGTACAAAAACAAAATACTTATGGGAACTTTGAATCTAACCTGTTATTTACTGTTCGGTTTAGCGGCCTCCGTAGTCTAGGGGTAACGTTCCCACCTCGTGACTCAAGGTACGCGGGTTCAAACCCGGCGGAGGTCGTGGAATTTTTAAGGGCGGAAAAATTCAGGGAACAAGTCCTCCGGGAGAGACTTTAAGCCCTGGGTTCCGTGTCCCAAAGGGACCACTGAGCCAAATTCAGGACATTTCCCGCCCAACAGTAGTCTCTAACGCCTCTGGTAGATGGGGGCAGCTGAGCCAGTACAGGCCGAACTCGCTGGCTGAGTCGGAACTGATGGCACGCACCAGTACCGGTAGGGAATAGAGACTGGTAGAATATCATAAGGGGACGCACAATGGACCAACAGTTGGTCTAAGTGCATGGGGAAACCCACCCTCTCCAATAGAATACAATAATACTGTTCAGTTTGGACCACTTTATTTCCTTTTCAGTTTCATTTGTTTCTCAAGTTAATTTACTTGTCTTTCTTTCTACCCCACGTATCTATGAGAGTGTACACACTGTGACCCCCAAATAATATCGATCTACAGAGAAAACAGTTCATAAAAGTCGTTAATTTTATGTCGCGACTCGTTAAATGGCAAATGAAATATGGCTTGCAGTTGCATTGTGTCGAGTGAGTGGAAAATTTTCAATGGCATACTCAAAACTACGTGGAGAGAAACAGTCATGACCTGTGTTGGGGTATTTTCTAAGCATTTCCCTGATGGACTGGCAGAAAACACGAAAACTTCAAACAGTACAACCAGTATTAATGCCAAGACTCTTAACTCAGGAACTTCAAAATATGAATAATTCGTTCTAACCTAGTCGTTATGTGTTGCAGAATTAAGAAGACCATCTTCATCTTGAAATTTCTCACTGATATAAATTTCATTTCACGATTCAAAGTACTACTTATGCTCAGTGTTACTTTTCCATTAAAAAAAATTCCGATGTGACATAAAACCCTCAATTTCTGTGTCTTAAATATAATATATTTAGTTCCACAGCAATTATATTTAACTGAGGAGTGGAAAAATTAAATTACGATTATAATCTAATTATATTAATTGAATTCTGATGTATATAAAATTGAAATATATACAGTAAAATCTGCTGAATCGAGATGTTCTTCGTTTCAAGATGAACACTTACAAATATTGAGAAACACCAAAAACCACACATTCGTATGACCCAGTCAAAACTTCGTATTCCACATTCGTTTACATTATACGTATATTTACTGAGTACCTCACGTGTACATTTTCAATTTTAGGTCTATTTATTTTCTTTTTCCAACCCAGAGTGTTATGAACGTAATATTATATTCAAGCATCCTATTGCATTCATTGGCCGGTCACGGTAGCCGCGCGGTCTAAGACATGTACTGTCTTCGCTCGCTCGGAAGCTGGGATCGTGGGTTCAAATCCCACTCAAGTCATGGATGTTTGGTGTGTGTATGCGTTTATTCTGTGTTTGTGTTGTCCTGTGTGTAGGTACTGGCCTTGGGACGGGCTGATCACTCGTCCAAGGAGTCCTACAGTCTGAGAAAAATGATTACGGAACTGAACAGGAGGCCTGGGCCCGTGAATGGGTTGGAAGAGCCATCAAAGTGCACTGATTGATCACTGAGTGTTGATTCCCAGTCTTATTAGTACAACTTTCAATTGTTGCGTCACTATTAACACACTACCACATTTTCATTCACTCATTCGATTATTAATCATGCCATTTGAAAAATAAACACATATTAAATAAAGAAAGCAGTCTTCTGGGGCGTGGAACCGTGTAGATGTGGTGTTAACCGACGTTTCGGAGGAACGTACCGCCTCTATCTTCAGGATAGAAGGAAAAACAAGAAATCCGCAAGCGAAGAGACCGTGAGAACCTGTACAAGCAGATGAGTCCTCCGAAACGTCGGTTAACACATCTACACGGTGCCACATCCTAGAAGAATGCTTTCTTCACAGTCACCGCCGTGAAAACCTCAAATCTTACACGTATTAAATAGTTCAAATATTTGAACTTTAATTTTCAATTTAATTGTAATTAATATTTCCCTCGATAAGGAATTCATTCACTGAAGCAGCTTGCGCGTGAAATATACCTGAGGATGGCCTTGCAATGGCTGAAACATGGTGTATGAATAGTTAAATAATGAATGAGAATTTGGAAGTGTGGCAGGAGCCGAGTTCGTTCACAGGAAATGATCACTCTCAGGTAAATCCGACGACGAGGGGTGAAGGACAAAATTAGTAGAACAGAACGCAGTGAGTATTATGCGTACTATTCTGCCATCAAGTACAATTTCTCATTTACTTTTCCCAGTTAATTAGCTTTCACATGCTGCGTGTATTTTCATCCTACATCCGGATTCTTGTAGACGAGGCAATCAAATGATAGATTTCGTAACAGGCAGGGAATATCTTCATAAGGGAATCAATTTTCACCCTTCATTTTCAACACCGGATAAAAATAGATGTCTTTTATTTTTTTAAGCACCCCCCCAAAAAAAATAAAAGAGAAAATGAGGAGAAATGCCAAACCAATTTTCTGGTTAATTAGTTTCGAGCATGGAAATTATCCAGGGTCTGAGCAGTGCTCACTGGCCTGGATGTTCAACGAAAAGATTTATTGGATCGCATTAAGCAGAATTTGTCCCTGTACTTAACTAAGCACTACGCCATGAAGGCGTATAGGGGAGTAGATGTATACACCCACGTTTTCTTGACCTCGGAACATTTGGAAGTGAGTGGTGAGTTTCAAGCCCCAGCCGCTTGAGTCCCCAATACCCATTGTATAGGAGGTTGGGTTGACCCCCGAGCTGGTCTGAACGACATGGAGAAGTGAAAATTCTTACCCCCCCCCCAGGACTCGAACTCCGACCCCTCAAAGTGGTAAGTTATTTTAACCATTGCAGAGAAAGGTCACATAGTTTTGATTTCATAATTAATTTTGACTACATATTTGGGAAAGTTAATTCGGAGGGGGGCCTCATAACCTTTCCTTTAAAAAAAAAAAGTATTTAATTTTTTTCTTATTTCGTATTCAAAACATCTCTCAGTTATAAAGACTAGTTTTTTGCTCTGATTTTATTAATGTTTGCGGTATTTATTACGAAGTTTATTTCTTGTACCTGACCTCCCACTTCTCAGAGTTAATACCAGTTTGGTGATATATATCTCAGCGACTGTCGTTTTAAGGGGATTTTAAGCAGTTCTTACTGTATACATGGATATAATTAGAAACGACACAGGAAATTACCTTAAACTGCAGCAGAAGAGAACACGAATCGTTGCAGAAGGCCGGGAGCTGCCTAGGGGTGCTGCATCACGTGATACCTGCCATCATTTCTGCCACAATTAGTTTATGTTGATGTTCGGTGCTTCTCCTATGGTGCTGTAGGGATGAACATGGGTTCCGGCCACCTGTAGAGCGCCAACCACCCCTTCCCCTCAAATGTCTGTCTGTGTACTCCTATAGTAAAGCTGAATCGATCAAATGGACAACTTCTGGCAAGACCTTGCCTCTTCCTCTTTCAACCCTTTTTCCTTATCTCTTTTGTCTACTCTGAACTCTTAACCATTACAAGAATAAAACATGCCGTTGGCAACTTGCCATCTTCTAAGCTGTAGTCGAAGTGGAAACCCCCATTAAATCCCATTACACTTTATACACAGAAAAACAAAGGTGGAATAAGTTGTTCTAGCGATTTCCACGCTGCAACAGGTTTTCAATCCACAGAACTTCTTGTAATACACTTGGTTCTATTTGACACTGTAACAGAGTTATACTCTCTAGGTCTATAACCGGAACTTGACAAATTCTATAATTCAGTTAACAGTTCTAATTACATGCAGTGTTATTTGCCAAATTTTAATATATTTTTATCTTGCTGAAACGAAGACTAGATCTATAAGCTCTCATTAATCGTATTTCAGAAAATAAAACTTACGTAAATTATTACACGTTTTCCTGGAACTGTTTTCAATTAAAACTTACAGACGATATAAATTATTTCCTCTTTCTGACACTCACCCACATTCACTGTAAAATCGTAGCAGTCAAAAACGTATTTTCTTTTTTTTACATTCGTACATTTCGAACCTTTTTTATCTTTTAAATACTTCGAACCTGCGACAAATAAGCTGTTTGTCGTCCATCTTCTTGGAGTTCAATTACTGGTTTAAAATTGCATCACCACAAACACAAACATGAGATGACGATTTCTTTTCATTTAAGACGAGAGTCGGCTGTTTCACCTTGTGCGATATGGATTAATTAAGCGCGTAGATTGGTGTTGTGTAGGACGACAAGCTTGAGAGATGTATTAGTAATGCAGGAGAGAGCAGATTACATGTTAGGCGATGGTATCACGCACCGAACACGGCTGATGTAAGTGAAAAACTACCACCGTCAACCGACGGTTTCTAACCTTTGCGTCTCTCCACCAGCCCTCAACAGATACACTGAGTAGGGACCCCTAGACCATCCATCCAGGACGCCTAGCAGCAGCAGGTGGAAGAGTGAGAGAGAGAGAGACGAACAGACACGGGGTTGGTTCATTGGTTGGTTGCGCAACCAGGGCTGGCTAGAGCTCCCTCTGTCTCCGTCATGAGCTGGCACCAGTCGCTGTCGATCTGGAAGGGGAGGGGGCTGCTCAGTAATGAGAAAGAAAACATCAGATAAACAGTGAGATGGGGGAATGAGACGGATAATACGATATCAGTAACGCAAAAAGGAACTAAATCATTCCATGAACATAACAGCACAATAATCCAACTTCCAAATTAAAGTTTCTTTCTGATTTGGCTGACGTCATGATCGAGTACTTCGCGTTTACGTATTCGGGAGGTCATGGGTTAAAATCTGGGTAGTGAGGCAATAATACAGGGTCTTGATACCAGCCGGAATCGGAACCAAGAATTACTATGCTGGCGAGGACCAGCAGCATTTCACACGACCGACAGGCTATCCTGACAGAGAAGAATGTCGTCTTCTGGGGTGTGGCGCCGTGTAGATCTTGTGAAAACCTATGTTTCGGATGAACGTGTCGCCTCCATCTTCAGGGTACAAGAATTCGCGAGCGAGGAACAGCTTCAGCAGGTGGCTGCAGACTAAGTCACCAGTCGAAAAACACCCAGCTATATAATGTTCCCCTCAAGCTGGTTCCGCGCTCACGGATTCACACAAGATCTACACGGAGCCACGTCCCAGAGGACGGCATTCTTCATAGTCACCGCCGTGAAAACCTCAAATCTTACATATCCTGACAGAATTTCAGTGCGTTTCCTCAGTTCCTTCAGACACATGCCTGGAGAGTATTTTATTACATGACATTACACAATGTAATACTGATTATTAAAAAAATCTATGAATAAACTAATAATTTGTATATTTGCCTATTAAATTTACCACATTGCATTTGTACATTAAATTGTTCATTAAAATTCCTATAAATGTGTCTTAAAAAAAACGCCGTGGCCTGTAGAGAACTATACCGACCGAGCGACCGCTGCTTGTCGGTGACATTAGTGCCAACTTTAGCGGATTGAGGGTGTCACATGGTCAGTGCAACGAATCCCCACGGCCGTTAATTTCGGTTTTCTACAACGGAGCCGCTACTTTTCCATTCAAGTAGCTCCTCACTTATCCTCACGAGGCTCAGTGGACCCAGTTCCAGACCCACTGCTTCTAGAAAATCTGGTAGCGCCGGGAATCGAACCAGGGATCTGTAGTCATGAACTCTGATCAATAGACCAGAGAGGCGGTCGATAAATGTATCTTTAGCTTTTTTAATGTGAAACTATTTATGTGGATTGCAAAGTAGTCACAGGTCACAGAACAAGGGAAGTGTTCCTAAAACATCTTTATAAGAGACGTCAAGAGCCGTTACACTTCTTAATACACGAATGCGTAATAAGGCCCATATAGTGTAACAAGTATATTTAAATTATATTAACTAATTACTTTTAACAAACAATTTATTTTAGTTGCATTCAAATTTTAGAGACTCGATTGATGTTTGTGAAGCCGGGATAGCGACTGGTTACGGGCTGGGAGACCGAGAGGTCGGACACAGATGTGCTGAATTTCGACATTGTTCTCTTAATCTGAATGCCCTATTTGAGTGGAACAACAGGTGTCAAATACAGAGAGGTTTTACTGTGTTACGAAATTACTACTGATCCTATGTACAGGTCTAAATTGAGAGGCAGCAATTAGTCTCCATGCCTTACTAAAATATACTCTGGCATTCCGCCTGAAAGCCAGAATAGCGGAGCCACAGTAGACGCTCATTGCTAGGCAACGACTCGGCAAACAGGTTCCGGCGGAAATGAACATGCGTATAGCAATAGAAGAATTACCGTTTCTATGCAACAGCGATGCACCGTCTCCTTCCGGATATCTACTACTTATTACGTCAAAGACAGGAGCGGCGCAACGTCAAGGGCTCTCATGTTATGTTCACAATGCTCCCTAGATGTAGTAGGGACTCCAAGCCACAGCAGGGAGACACTTCCAATCGACAAGACTAGTTCACCATAATAAATTAATTTAATAAGAGAAACACAATAAAACAGAATACAACAAATAGAACTTAATAGAAGGCGTGGGCCCAAAAACACACAACTTGTGACCACATCTGTCAGTTACTTTACTCTTGCCTTAACTGCGGCATCAGACTACACTTAATAGCCCACGCTCACTGCTTATTACTCTTGTTTACAATCATGCTACTTCAGCAGGCACAAAATAATGTTAACAAGTAGTCCTTGCCTACAGGCGATTCCTAGGGAAGAAAACACAACGACGTAACGTTAAATTAAAACCCATCGCTCTGCCCCACAATAACTTATAATGCAAGCAAAACCCCCGACGTGCGTTGCCAGCACAACCTCCCAGACATAATTTAGAATACCTTCCGAAACCGAATTTGAAAAAAAAATCCCCGGCTGGCCGCGTACGTCCGATACGCTGTGGATCCAAGCAGCGAATGAATTTAAATTCACTAACCGGCTTCTTCCGAGCCATCTGGGGAGGGGACGGGGAGAGGAAGCGGAATCCCACGTGATACACTCCAGCACGGGATGAAGGGGTAGGGATTAACATGGCTGGAAGGCATGACGTCATCCAAGAGCCATAACATGGCTCAGCGAGGTAAATACGCCTCTGTAACAATAGAGTAATTTTTATGAAACACAGTTTTCTGTCTTTTTTGCGCCGGAATGTTATAAGCAGAACAGTGTGAAGCAACAAGTTAGATATCAGAAGAATTGAGGAAGCCTCTGGAGATGGCAGTCGAAGACAACTGAAATGGCAAGAATGAAATTAGGCTGTGCAAAGAAGGCTTTGTGTGTGCTGCTGATACAGTGAGACTGGTATAACCACTGTGTTGAAATCCGTTGCCAGGATACGACTAGTGAAGACTGAGAACCCTGGTGTGTGTGAGTGTAATGATGAACTGTAAAGTGTGAAGATCTACGATAGCGATGTATTACCTGTAGATCCGAGTTATGTGCATGAGGTGTCAATAGATCCGGCCATCAATCAAAAACCCGCCAATAGTCACAACCCAAAAATGTGACAATGCAATTAGAAAGAGCAAGTTATAAGCACAAGTTTGTCGAGAATATCTGAGAAATTGAGAGGAAGAATATAAAATGTAAAGCCATCCCCGTAAAAGGCCGTGAGGCCCTGTAGGGTTGTAAGACGTCGTGGCTCCAACATCTTCTAGATCAGCCGTGTCAAATATGCGGCCCCCATAGCCACAAAGTACGGCCCCTCAACTTTTAGAGCTAATTGATATTAAAATCAATATTAAAATTTTAGTAGAAATATTTTTTGTAGAGACAATTTTCCAACAGACCAGAAGACAAGAAGTTTCACTCAGACATAAATTAGCAGGCTTCAGGAAAAGTGATTCTGAGAAGTGCAGAAGGGTTGTTCCAACTAAGGGTTTGTAAAGTTCGTGAAGGACAAACTATTTTATTTCGGAAGGTTAATGCACTAAAATCCGCACAGCCTCACCACCCCAAGTATTTCCAAGAATCCCTTTTGGAGGCGTAGTAAGAATGCAAGGAGGGTGGCAATTGACAGACAAGTGCAAGGGATTTCTACCTTCAAAACTAGCTTGTAACCCCAAGCCATTGTCTAATGGGCTGCTAGCAGACTTTCACTTTTATGACCATTGAGACAAGATACACCTTCCTACTAGTCCGGTAGTCTCTTGTACATTGTCATTCAGTTCATTTTCACACAGCGACAGGTGCTGATGTTACATTGTGATGAACGTATAAAGGTTATAATTAAACATTAAATTATCAACTACGAGTTTTCTTGTACATGTACAGTAACTTTTAAAGGGCAATGTCGCTTTCAAAAAATTCAAGTAGCACTAAAAGAACTACTGAAAGTGAGCGCCGTGTTTTTCAAGAAACATGGGAAATCGCTTATTTCTGTTGTGAAATAGAAGGTAAAATTACATGTTTGATTTGTGGGCAAAATATAAGTGTTCCACTTTAGGTATTTATATTGAAATTATTTCTAAATAATAAATAGAATTAAATTTCATTGTATCAAAATCTAATGTATATTTCTATTTTGAAGTGCGGCCCTGGACTATTATTTATAGGGCTGAGTTGAGTTTGACATGCCTGTTCTAGACAATCGGCTCACAGATAGAGGTGAGATTGTCAGTCTTACGCTCCTGCCGCCCTTTAACCCAGGAAGATCCCTGGTACTCATTTCTGTTAGAGGCTGAGTCGACCCCAGGGTCATAGTGCGGCTGGAAGGATTAGGTCATTGAAAGATCCAATGTCTTCATCGGGAAAAGAATCCACGACCTTCCGGCTTGTAGCATAGTGCATTAACCAGCTGCGCTATTGCGTGCCCCCATTCGAACCAAATACCTTGCGAATACGAGTCCAGAGGTTACCGCTATGCTAATCCGCTCTCGGGGAATAGCCTCTATCGATGAAGAGTTCGAAGGTTTTGTAGAGGATGAAATTTTTTTGGCTGGGCAACGTGCCACAAACTTACCGCTGAAGAGAGCATGTGTGAGCCTCGGAAGAAAGAGATTGAATGTGAGTGTCTAAGTGTGCATGTGCAGAGACGGTTCTATTCACCGAATTTTGTTAAACCCAGTAAGAAATTACATAGAACTAGACATGTGTTAGGCTGTCAAGTTTTCTATTAAGTATTAATTTACGGTTCAAAAACTTAACAATACACGCTGTTTACTGGCCAATTAACGGACAAAGGTGATCATATGTAAAGAACTTAACATGGCAAAACCTGATAATCAGGTCCGATTGGGTAAATTGCTGCTGGCTTCGCCAGCACAGTCATTCTTGTTTCTGGATCCCGCAAAGACTCTTGACCATTTTTTTCTGTCTCACGGCTTGGGAGTCATGCAACAAGTGCTTACTTACTTACTTACTCATTGACCTGAGCCCTTCTGGAGGAGCCGCCAATT